CAAAAAAAAAAAAAAAAAAAACCCACCAAATATAGTAAAAGTAAAAACAAAAGTAACAAAAAAAAATAAAACAGGTAAAATTAATTTTAATACATTTCTTTTAACTCAGTCTACTAAAAATATTATCATTTAACATATATTCAACATACAAGTTTTATTTTCCTTTTTTATTTTTTGTTTTCAGTGCTAGGAAGTGAACTCAGGGCCCTGAATGTGCTAGGCAAGTGCTCTATCCCTGAGCTGTGGCCCCAGCCCAATTAGTGGAAATTTTTATGTTCTTTTTTTCCAAGCTAAATCTCTCAAATCATGTCTACTTTACATTCCAAGCATGTGTCACTTTGGACTCGCCATAATTCAAGGCCTCTGCTACTCTATGGAACAGAGTGGGCCTAGGGAGCGCTCTACAGGTGGCTGGAAAATACCGGCTTGGATAGGAAGTTAACAACACTAAACTAATGCTCACTTGTTTGTTTTTCCCAGAGCTAAGGATGGAACCCAGGGCTTTGCATATGCTTGGCAAGAACTCTATTGCCAAGCTCCCTCCCTGAGTCATGAGTTAACGCTGTAGAAGGGGGCATCCCAGTGAAAGACACATCTTTCCACCTGTGTAACAACTACAACTTTGGCAGATTACGGGGGGAAAATGTCTGAAATTCAAAAGAAGCTCCAGAGTTCAGAATCTCAGCTTTAAAAATTTACAAAGCGTTTCTTTTTGAGGGATAATGAAAATGTTCTAAAAACAGCTATGGTGACAGTCACACAGTTCTGTGAATATAAACCATTTCACTGTTTAAAGGGTAAATTAATGCTATGTGAACTCTATCTTAATTAAGCTGTTTTAAAAATTTATACAGATGTCAAAGGTAGAAGTCCTTCTACTCCAAAAGCCTATTGGATTTGGGGCCGATGGTGTTAGAGGTACTTTAAAATAAACAACATAGTTACAAAAACAAAATTCCAGGCATAGTTATTCATGGTGTTGGCAGGATGTGAAAATTCAAGGTTCTGTCCCCTGAAGTTATCTTGCTTGAGATAAATGTCTTATGATTATCATAGTTTTAAAACTGAGAGTACCCTCATAGACAGAACCATCAACTTCCTAGAAGGCCCCACTTACAGGAGATCTGCTGGTTAATTGTGTCGTGGCCTCTGGAGAATGGTTTTTATTTAGAACCCTTTTCCTTTACCGCTCCACTCCCACCACACTTGTTAGCTCTGCCTTCACAACAGCCCTTCTGTGAGAAACTCTTACTGAGAGAACGACTTTCTCCAATAACCCCCCTGTATCTTTTCATATTTCCCCTAACAAAGCTGCCATTTTCCCCTAACATAATCACAATTTACCAATTACCTATTCTTAATGGAAACTTACGGATGTGTTAGAGAAATTTAAGCAGAAACCGCCACGAAGGGGGAAAAACATTTTGATTCATTCAAAACGGTAGAATTTAAGCAACTGTCACTGTCCAAGTGGGAATGACTTCCTACTGGTCTATACAGTCCACAAAATGAATAAGCTTCCCCCGCTCTCGTGTGGTTTGACAAGCTATAAAAAGCTCCAAGTTTACTTTCAATTTTTCCCTTAACTCAGTCCTGCGTAGTAAGCATAATACCAAAGGTTGTAGTCAAAGGAAGGTTTTTTGTTTTAGTTAAAAAATAAAAATTAAAGAAAAAGCTAATCTACAAATTGCAGTAGAAATTTAATTTAATTTGACCTTAAAACTAGATGACTAGTTTTTCTGCCATTTGTTAGTTATAAGGGCCTTGGACAAAACACAATTTTGCAAGACACTGATGTAAAGAACAAGTGAGATAGCCAAGTGTGGTGGCACGAGCCCATCTTCCCAGTACTGAAGAGGCTGAGGTAAAAAGATTACTCAGTGAATTCGAGGCCAGCCTGGGCTACATCGTGAGTTCGAGGCCAGCCTGAACCACATCGTGTCTCAAAAAACAAAAGCAAAACCAAAAAAGAACAAATTGAGATCATCTAGTTCTTTTCTCTTATCAGCTGGCACTAATCCTTCTTGTAGGACATGGGACAATCATTACCACAGAGAATGGATGTGAAGTCACTTTACAAACAGCCACACATGAGTGGGATCAATGCCATTGCTGTGATCTAGGAGACAGTGTGGCATGAACACAAGGGCTAGCCCAGGTCCCTGGGCCACACCTGCTCATAGATTTTCTACTTTATCTCTTTCTGGGCATCTTTGACAAAGAGAGGCAATGCAGTGTAAGAGTCACAGGCCTCATGGGTAACCCGAAGCCCACATGAGGTTGATTAGCCATCTGTGTCCTCCACCAACTGCCTCCCATTGCCAAACTCCCATCTCTTGGCTCTCTGTAGACACAGCTTTACATCATGTCTTTACTCGGGTTTGTAAAAGCAAGTATGTTAAAGTCTGATTTAAGTCCACTGCAAAATTCAAACACTGAAGTCCTAACCTACAGGACCTCATCATGTGATGTTATTTGCAGAGTTGCTGAAGATGTACACAAAGGAAGAAGGCGTCACCTATAAACTAAGGAGAAAGGCCTCAGATGAAACCAGCCTTCCAGGCCTTGATCTTTGATCTAGTCTCCAGAGGAAAGAGCTGTTCAAGCCACCCAGTGGGCAGAACTTTGTTTTGGCTGCCCAGGGAAACTAGTGTCGTAACCTAAGAAGGTTTGAGTATGCTCAGCAAAAGCAAGCTTGGCTAATATGATCAGTCAAGCCAGTGAGAGAAGCAAACATTTTCTCTCTTTAAAAATATTTTTCAAAAGGTAGGGGAAGATGAGGGGGTGAGAAGGAATGGTGTCATGACCCTTCACATCACGGCCTCTTGCTGCTGTCACTAGCATTTATTCCCCTTCACATTCAAAAGTGGGCAAAGGGCCTTGAACCCAGTGCTGAGCGCCTCTGGGGATTCCCTCATTTTCAGATTATTTGCTGTCTACTTTCTGGTTCCCTTTTCCAACAAACAGCTCAGTTTATCAGGTGATAACATAAATGCTAGGATTTTCTACAGTTTCATAATGGTTTCTCTCTTCCTCTCTTGCTAATAAATATAAGCAAAAGATCTGTTTTCATTCTAGACTTAACCTATTGAGTCAACGCAGAATGAAACATTCTGGGGAAATTTTGAAACCCTAAAGGCTGACTTAACTCAGATTGGGAGCACCAACAGTTCACAAACATGGACCTCACTACTCTCAACTGATTATTAAGAAGATCCTTACAGCAAGCTGGAGATTTCCCCCTAATGGTTCCAGTAAAGCTTGTTCTCTGCGTTCTCTCTACATAGGCGAATGGAAATGTTTCGGCAACCTGCTGTTTTCCCTCCAATGTTAGAAGAAAATGATTCTTTTAAATTTTCAATATATAAGGAATTTGTCTGAGCTCATCTGTGAGGGTTCACTGCCACCGGAAGTAAGAATGTGACAGCCAGAAGTCACTTTGAAGAAATAAATCCAGGACACATATGTCATTGTGACTCAACATTTCCTTTACCATTTGTGGGAGCTTAGTATTTTTTCTCCTGTAAATTCTACCATCTATTTTAACAGGCCACGACCTTCTGTCTTATTAAGACAGGGTTCTGAATTATTTACCAAAGAGGAAAGTATTATATTTTTCTCTTACAAACTGATATTTTATTTTGTTAGTGAATAAAGGTTTTTGAGTTGTTTCAGCCGGATTATAGAGCCCTGAATGATAGAGAAACTTAAAAAGACATTTTCAAATGTGATGTTTCTCTGGGTGACAGCATAAATACTAACATTTTGGGGGCTTTCCTTAAAATCTGAGAAAGTCTGTATTAGCTGCATCTAACCACAGTTGAATCTTCAGTGAGATCCAACTTTTACAAAGAAAAACACACCCAAGTCAAATGTACTCCAGTTAAAAAACTGCATCTCCCAGTATCACAGTTAAGAATGCTACCACAGGGCCCTCAAAGTTGGGATTGATGGATGAAGATGTGTTAAGTGCAGGTCCCAACTCCCCAGGAGAAATGCAGTGACTGTATACTGCAAACGTGCACTAGTAAAAAAGATTAAAATAAATAAAAATGTTTTAAAATTTGGAATTGATGTAGACGCTCAGAAGTAAGAAGATACCCAAAATACTCTCGGGTGCCATCCTTCGTCATGCAACAAACATGTGACTGAATTTCATTACTCCTTTCTTCAGCCTTCACAATTTATAAACCACACATTTTCACCCAAAAGTAAAGCAGCACTTTTCAGTCACTGTAAAAGTTTGCAAGGCGACACCTGCTTCAGAGTTTAATTTCCAAGCTTAGTTGAACTCACGCTAGGGACTCCAACCACCCCAAAGCCTTCTTCTTTGCCTCCTTTCCAATAAGAGGATACATTCTGTGCTTGAAAATGAAAAGAATCATTTGTGTGGATTCTGGGTTTAGAATAAAGATGACAGGGAACACAATTCCTGGGTCTTACCTTGCACTGTAGATCCCAAAACCAGGACGAGGGCCAGGGCCAGGGCCAGCCTACCACACGTGAGCACCGCCTGCATGACGACCAGCTCTCTCCAGCGCGCTCGCGGCTAGGAAATGCTGCAGGGCACTCTCTGTCCCTTTTAGAAAAGGTTCCAAAACCTCAACCCTGCCCAGAACACACGTCACGATTTCCTGAACAAATAGAAAGAGATCCACATCAAAACCCAGAGCAAAAGAAAAGGAAAGCAGTAAAAATAACTATTCATACCCATTCTGAGACTGTACTGGACTCCTCAGACCCGCTTTCTCAAAAGTGGTGTTGTTTGCCATTTATCTGTTAGAAGTTCTCTTCCCCATCAAAACAGTACAATCAGCATTCAGGACAGTTTGTTTTTCTTTTCTTCAGGTACCAATCTAACCACAGGATCGCTAACCTGAAGAGTCCACTGCACTTACTGATGAGATAAAGGGAGACAAAATGTTAATTTTTCTTTTTCAACAAGGAGTAACCTAACTCACTGTGCGCCAAGCTACAGAAGTGAAACTTCCACTCTTGAGTTCTCATCTAGCAGAAAGAATTGTCCCATGTTTCTTCTTGGATTCAATTTTTTCATTGGATTGCTGGCTCTCCCTCTACCACAAAAACACGGTGAAGATTTGTCGGTTACAAAAAAAAAAAACTTCATAAAACTGAAAAATTATTTTGCATTCCTCAGCTCCTTCACACTGACTTTTTCTTATGATGTGATGCCAGGCATACTTTTATCTTTCTTCTCTTGGTAAAATTTTTCAGCTTGTTTTTGGGTCTTTTGGCCTTGAAATCGGAAACAAAGGGGAGTTTTCCTCAGTGAGCTACTGGACGTGAAAGGACACAAACCACCCCTCCCTGTCCAGAAAGGATAGCGTTTTCACTGCTGCTGTATGGATTTCTGGAGGATCTCCACACTGAAGTCACACATCCTCGCCCTGGGGACACAGATGGTCCCTTCCCCTTTTTGAAGAAGCGTCCACTCTCCATTCCACATGTTAGAGCACACGTTCCACTTTCCATTTTATGTTCCCCTTGCCCGTCCTTATAAGCAAGGGAGGGGTTTCCCTTCCCTTGTTGTGGACTTCCTGCGGATTCCTTACCGTTTCCGGCTAAGGACAGCCTCAGAATCTAACCCCGAGCAGCCGTGGTAGAAGGACAAAAACGGTTCACATGTGGCTCTCCTCAGAGCTGGCCAGAGGTGGGTCCTGCATCCTCCTCAGAGCTCAGCACCAACTCCACTTACAACCCCAGCAAGCTCCCCGCTGTGGAGTACAGTCTGGGTTTTAGCTTGAAACGTCAGAGCTTGTCTTTAGTCTCTTTTTGTCCTAACCATCAATTTAAAACCCTGGCCCCAAAACAACAGTTCCTGTCAATAGCTTCAGTAGGTGTCCTGTGAAGCCTTTCAGCTGATTAGAACTTGTACTTGAAAATGATCACTTGAGGGACTTTTCTCATCTGGATTCTTCATTTTTCCTTTCTCTGGGTCATAGTGATTTTTTTTTTTTTTTTTAAGTACTGGGGATTGAACCCTTTGTACTGAGCTACATCACCAGCCCATTTTTTATTCTGAGACAGGGTCTTGCTAAATTGCCCAGGTTGAGCTTTAACTTGAGATCCTCCTGCCACAGCCTCCCAGGTTGTACATCATGGTGATTTTCAAAAAGCTTTTGCAGGAGTGTCATGGCGCTGTTGGGCCTGGGAGTACCGCAGGTGAAAGAAAGCACATATCTCTTTCTCTGGGTGCTTTAGGCATTTTTGGAAGCAGAGGCAGCACTGAGAAGGTTTCCAAGTAGGATGGAGCTGAGCTGATTCAGTCAGAGCTTGCCAGCGAGTGAGTCTCACACCCATAATAGACTTCAGATCTCCGAGGATCGGCCTCTAGAGCAACCTCCAGCAGCACAACATCCCGTATCCCAAGGCCATTTTTGAATTTGAATTTTTTTTACAACTGCAGGCCTTTTTCACTTTGGCCAGTGAGCTGTGCCCTGGGAGCCATCAGCCCAATGTTACAGCTCCGGTCTATGACTGCACCCAGAGCATCTTTGGGCCTCAGAGAGTGTCCAGCATCCCCATCTTTAACCTGGTTGAAGTTCACAGAACCTTTGCCTCAGCTACCTGTAGCATCTGTCAAAGACTCCCCAGAGCAGGGCTTCGGGCTGCTGTGCTGGCGGACAGGTGCCCTGCACCAGGCTGCAGCAGCCAGGCAGAACCTCGTGCCAGCTCGGGTGAGGCTGTACACAGCTCAGGGCCTTGACCGCTCATCGGCCAGGACCTAGTCCAGGTTAGGGTGATGCTGCAGCCTGTGGACCGGACAGAAGAGTTGTGGGACCTTGTCCAGCGGGAAACTGGCGGGATGAACAGGACAGATAGGACGGCAATGGCTGCCAGTGCACAGCCCAGCTATGGAGGACAGATCTGCAACCCACTTGCATCTGCATGTTGCTGTCTGCAGTGGGGTTAGTTCTAAAGAAAATCTGTCCTTCATTCTTGCATGAAAGACATTTAGCCTAAAAAATCTGTAGTGTTCACTAGCATTTGCTGTTCTCCTGTTACTGACAGCTGACAGTTCCTTTGCCCAAACAGCCCCCCCCTCCGGGCTCGGTTCCGCGTCCTCTCCTCAATTTGTAGAGGAGCAGGAGGAATACACGCAGCAGCCAGGCCTGGGCCTGAGCCTTTCTCCCCAGCTCACCACCTGAGAGATGCCAGCTCCTTTTTCTTCACACCTCTGTCACTGGAGACCTGACGAGGTGTGGGCACCCAGGAAGAGGAGGCCCTTCCCCTAAAGCTCAGCCTCTCTAATGTGCATGGTTTCCGGATTTTGGTTTTTTGTTTTTTTGTACCAGGGATTGAACCCAGTACCATGAGCTTGCCAGGCAGGTGTGGCACTGCTAAGCTACATCCCCAGCCTGGTTTCCAAAATTTCAAAAGCCAAATTCTATTCCAAACTTAGACCATCATTTTCCAGGCAAACTGAAATCACATCTATTTTGCTTCACAGTTAATTGAATCTCCCACAAAGCCGGCACCCTTATTTCTCAACAAACACCTGGCGTGGTGGATTGGATTTTGGATGCATCCCCCAAAAGTCCGTGCGCTGCAAACTTAAATCTCCAAAGTCATATGTTGGTGGTGTCTGGAGCTGGGCATTGAGAGGTGATTGGGGTGAGATGAAGTCACCCGGAAAGGACACCCCGACGGCACGGGAAGAGGGACAGAGACCCAGGCTGGCAGCTTTGCGTCAGGCCACATGACACCTCTACTCCACTCTGGTTCAGAAGAGCCCCTCGCAGACTCAGAGCAGACGCCAGGCCCAGATCCTCAGTTCCTCAGGCTCCCGGACTGCAAGCAATAAATTTCTTTTCCTTATAAATTACCTGGTCTCCAGCCTGGGCTACATAATGAGTCCATCTCAACTACATAATGAGACCCTGTCTCAAACCCCACCCCCAAAAAATAAATAAACAAATTACCTGGTCTCAGGTATAGAGTTATAGCAACAGAAAACAGACTAAGACCCTGGGATGTAGCAAATCAATTACTTGTTGTCTAATCCAGTAACCCCCTAAAGAAACACAAACCTCCCTTTTCACTAATTACTGGTTTCAGGGCAGTCTTTGTAGGGGAATCTGTTGAGAGCACTTGAGTCCTTCTAGGATCACAACTTGTTCAGATGCAATGAGATATTTAGAAGAAATACCTAGGGTAGCACAACAAAACTGTTCAGAGTGTTGGCTCCAAGGTTCATTTATTTTGTTTTTTTTGTTGTATTTTCTTGAGACAGGGTCTCTATATGTAGTTCAAGCTGGCCTTGAGCTCACTATGAGTTCAGAGATCCTCCTGCCTCAGCCTCCGAAATGGTGGGATTATAGGTATGCACCACCACACAAGGCAGTTCATTTATTTTTTAAATCCCCAAGTTAAAGATTCTGCCACAAGGCAGCCTCTGGGACTTTTTCTTAGCTCTTTCTGGAGAGGGTCATGGGTCTGAAGTGAGTACTGCACTGAAAAACTAAACAGCAAATAGATCCTGTACTAAATATGTTTCTGGTGGCTTAAAGGATGATGCCTGTATTTTTTTTTTAATTTCTAGAATAGACGGGACTTTAGATACCATCTAGAAGCCAGGAGTGGTGGCACACACCTGTAATCCCAACACTCGTGAGGCTGAGGCAGGAGGGTATCTCTACCAGTTCAATGCCAGCCCAAACTACATAGCAAGACCCTGTCTCAAAAAAAAAAAAGAAAGAAAAGGTACAAAGATACTATGAAGGCCACAACATACTTGTGTGAGAAACAAGCAAGTCCAGAAGGGCTCCAACCCCGGCTTCTAGTCACACAGCTGGGGAGGGCCCAGGACAAATGCCTCAGAGTTTCCCGTTCCCCTTCCTACTCTCCTTTGGTGGCCCAGACAGGAAAGTATCTGCATGACTCATCCCCGGGGAGCAGTGCCCACTGTGCCCACGGAGAGGGTCCACAGGACGGAGGCCCCTAGCCAGCCCACCACTGCTCCTTCCTCGTGGTCACTGAAGCCACCCAGTTTCCTAAAAGCAGGATTCTTCCTCTAAAGCTCTCAATGAGTCTATCCCACATACTTTCCCAGGTATCTAAAAGTCGGGAACTTAATGTTTTAATTTAGGCCTGGAAAAGGAGAGGAGGAGCCCCTCACCAAGGTCTCTAATTTGAGAAGAGAAACAAGAGCCGAGATGATGTGTGGAATTTCTGTTCTTCTACCCAATTCTGCTGCTAAAAGTGTCCTTTAAAAAATTAAATAAAAACTGAGTGTGGTGGTCCTCAATTGTAATCCTCATTACTTGGGAGGCTGAGGCAGGAGGATCACAAGTTTAAATCTAGCCCGGCCACTTAGTGAGACCCTGCCTCTACAAATAAAAATTTTAAAAAGGGGTAAGGTTGTAGTTTAGAGCCCTAGGTTCGATCCCCAGCATCATCACAACTTCTCAACTGTGACCTTGAGTCTAGAAGATGACATCCCAATTCCAAAATGTGTAGGGCTTTGAAGAGCCAACGAAAGAGCCACATGCCGAGTGTTTTTCACGCAAGAGACTGGGAACGGAACGTGCTGTTTGTCTTGGGGAATTTTCACAGGGGTCAAAGTGTTGGAAACGAACACTCCGAGACAGTTTCAGGTGTAATGGAACAGGAA